GGGGGGGGGGCACCAGTGCAAGGGTTAATAAAAGTTTCTTAACTGATGTAAAAGTTATTAAAGCACCAGCAGAATGCTTTAGGACCTTCAAGTGTCTGTAAATGAATTGGCTTTCTTAAAAGGTGGGGGCCAGAATCATTGGATTAAATCTGGCACTGCCCCTGCTGCACATTTCTAGTGCTGGGCCGCAGTTGCTGGAGGGTTACTGGTGAGTTCTCTCTCCATTTACCAAAACCTGAGATAGTAAATGTGAGTAGATTAACTGTATCCTAATAAAGAAAGGCCTGTCCCTGTGCGTAGCCTGTGCACATTGTTGCAAGCCTCCCTGCTTTGCTACGCTAGATGCGGTCAAGCGACGAGGCTGGTGAAAAAACTCTAAAGCAAATGGTTTGGCTTAACATAGATGCATTGCAGGCTGTGTTTTATGAGAAATCCCAGTCATGTAGAACTGGCAGATAGACAATTATAGGCACTAGATGGGGCAGTTCCGGCAAAATCATAGATTAGATGCGGAGCTATAGGCAGCCTGATCTACTATGTTTTGGGTTAGTTTGCTATATATTGATTGTTGGCGTTATATCATCTTTAGGATTCATATTTGTCCCCTAGGCTGATGTTCATGAACTACTAAAAAGCTGTGCAATGTATTATTTTCTTTAGTACATCACCTTAGATCAACTCCATGATATACTGGGAAACATGATGCCAGGCACTACCAATAGTGCTCTTCCTTCTGAAGGTTTTGATGCAAAACCAAACCATAGTGCTCATTCCTGTGAAGATCCGTCTTCTGTTCATCACTGCTCTTCATCATCCTCCTCTTCTCCCTCCATCTCCCTGGAGGTGGGTTCACTACCATAAAGCTATCTTTATTTTCGCTAATATTTATGATCTTGCTTGGTGTCTGAGATTCTGTTGCAACAGTTGTGCAAAAAATGGTTTACCTGAAATTTGTTTAGTCAAATCTTCATTGTATATCAGAAGAGAAACTGTAACACCTACAGTCAGCTTTGGGCTTTCAAGGGAGGTCAGAATTGCATTCACAATCTGACCTCCTCAGATGCTACTGCCAGATGGGTCCATATCAATGGAGAAGGGATAAGTATGCTGCCACCACCACTTATCTCATGGGGGGGACGAGAGTGACTGGGGTCAGCTTTTCTTACCTGCCCGATTGAATGCCCCAACAGCTGAATGGTTAGGTTTGGGGCCTTCATAGACACAAGATTGTTACCCCATCCTGGTGAGAATGGCTTAATTGAATGACCGTCATCTCATGTCTAAAATTAGCTTTAAAGTAGTTATCTACATTTCCAAGCCTACCTTGAATGTTTATGGGGCAGAAACGGCCATACATACCCCACTGGGTGGAATAACGATTAGAAAACTTTGCCTGATCACTGTTGTTTTTCCCCTGACTAGCCAGCACCATAGGTGTCTGCAGCTCACTATCCCCCCTTCTCATTACTTAAACACAAATGGTCATACAATGTGAACCTTTGTGTTTAGGAAGCTATGACCTGTACAGAAGTCTGAGGACCATATATTGTCTACAACTGCCATTAGGAGTGCTTGGATGAGACGGTCCTGGTTTGGTTGATATCCATAGCCATTACAAATAGTTTTCCAGTATGTAATATGTCTTGCATCTTCTTGATCTAGGATTGTTATGGGTGACACCACTATTTTTTCTTTTTGTTTCACTTTTTTCTTTCTGCCTCATTCTCATGCTTTTTTACTGCTTGTTTTATCTTTCCCACATCATCAGGTGAATTCACAGATTGAGGGTCATTCTGCACCCATTCCTCCTCTGACAGACTGGTATCAGGAATTTGCATCTCTTCCCTCCAGCACTGTTTCTTCCTCCCCACCTCCCCTTCCTGCTAAGTCTCATGCCTCTCGTAAGGCCCAGCAGGTAATCCCCCCCCCCACCACCCACCCATCCCATCCTGCCTGCATAGCAAAGCAAATCTTAATAGAGAAGGAATACATCCATTCAAATGTTAGTTGACATTTGTAGAACTATAGTCATAGATATTAGACGCATGTTTATGAATTGTTTGAAACCACAAAATGTTAAATTGTTCCTGTGTGAATTAATTTTTAAAGCTGAACTCTGAGCACCATAATGTTTATTTAAAATATATTCTTCTATTGCCACAAAGGATATAAATCCACTTTGTGTGCACTAAATGCATTCACAAACACAGATATCACCTTGAAAATGTACAGTAGTGGTGATATGATCATTGTGCTGCACATATCCTGTACAGAGAGCAGAGCTGGCATACCATCCCACTACATGCTGCCTCCTCCAAACTACTGCAGGGGGGCTGATACAAGACCAGTCACCCTGCACAAGGAGAGAGAGCAACAGTGACCAGTCTTTGTTACAGGAAGCACTGAGGCAAATTGCTGCACAGATCTAGATCACATGCACAAAGAATACCAGGATTTAAATAAGAATGCACATGCCCCTTGGATAAAGACAATATTTCTAGCCTGGATTTCAGCTTTAAGTTCATTACGTCTATGCATGTTATAAAGTTTGTTACACAAATATACAAGTAACATAACTTTTCTGTTAGATTTCTTTGTCTCGAACAGAAATGGATGGTGGTAGAACACTGCCGAGGATGAAAACAGTTTCTCCTGCTTCTTCCCACTTCTCGGTTTCTACTTTGGGAAGAAGTGTTTCACCAAAGGTAAGTAAATACATTGCTGACATTTCCTTGGTTTTGTATATTTTTCAAGCTTAAAAAGCACTTTTGATTAGTTTTGTTAACTTACAAATCTCCCTCTTCTTCTCGTTAGAGTGCACCTTTGACACAAAATGGTTCAGGAAGTCTTTCCCGTGGATTGGCAGTCACTCTGCAGGATATTCAGAGTAAGAGGCAACTAGCACTACTTCAAAAAGGTGACAGAATCTTGTCCAGCTGCATTGAGTCTAATGTTTCCTGTCCTCGGCACTGGAAGGTTCTTGTACACATTCATCTGTGCACCCTCAGTTATCATGCTCCATCCCCCTCTCTGCTCTCTTCAGTGTTGCATTCCTCCCACCCTGTTCTTCTTTGCAGAAGGGCACCCCATGTTATCTGTTCATTGTACTAGAGGTTTCTTACACACATTATCTTTACGCATTCATGGACTTGGGCATCATGCACTTTTTTATAGTTTCTTCCTCATTGTCACACAAGTGGAAGATTTCCCTGTTTTAAGTGTGCAAAGTGGTGAGTGGGAATATGGTGGCTTGGTTGGCACATAAGCACAATGTGCTCACCAACATATAGGAGTTTAGGGTAAAATGACTTTGCAAAGTTGGCATATGTCAGCACAACCCCAATAATTATTCGGCACATGCTTATGGAAAATGTCAGTTCCCATTTAGCAGGCACATAATTTAAAGCTATTCTAATGGTCACATGATTACCATATGCATGCAAGGGAGCGCACATTTATCAGATGTACTCCTGCAGCCATCTTTGATGAGCACTGTGTGCTGACTTACTGAAGCTGTACAGGTGGCCATGTTACATTTATGTTTAGCTATACACAAATATGACTGGCGCAGCCATAATGTTGTTTTGTCGTCCCCTTATCTTTCTAAAGCAGGGGTGGGCAAACTCTGGCCCTCCAGATGTGGTGAAACTACAAATCACATAATGCATCTGTCTCTGGGAGTCATGCCTGTGGCTGTGAGAATCTTGCAGTACCTCATTGGATTTGTAGTTCCACAACAGCTGGAACGTCGGAGTTTGCTCACCCCATTTTTAAAAACACTATTTAAACTGAAGTATTATGAAACACCATAACTAATGACACAACTAACTAAAACGCATCATTCTGCATTGGCTAGTTAAAGAACATTTTGCTAGTTAAAGGAGAACTATGAGGTGAGTGCTTTTCACTCACCTCATAGTTCTATCCGACCTGTGACAATGAGACTGTCACAGGTCGGCTCAGTAGATCGGGAGGTGAGCGAACACATACCGGGTTCGCTCGCCTCTCGATCCTGTCACGGCTCTCTGACGTGACAGGGGCTGGATTCCCCTCTCCCCGCTCCGATCTGCCAGCGCTGACTGGCGGAACGGACGGGGAGGGGGCGGGTACAGCTGGCTCTGCCTTTAGATAGGCAGAGCCAGCTGTCACTCACGCAGCTGGGCGGATCCCGTCATCTAAGCTGTAGCTCGCGGTATACTGAGCTTAGGGTAACGGGAGGACGCTAGTTTGTGTCCTCCCGTTACCCTAAGGAGAACTATGGGGAAAAACACTGACCCCATAGTTCTCCTTTAAACATAAAATTTACTCCTATCTGCATTAACTGTCTGGCATGTAATAGATTTGACATTTCTCTGATAATTAAGTTAGGTTCTTAGAACGTACTACCCTTGCTCTTCATACTGCTGTTGCCTGTCAGTTATTTATAGAATCCATTGATTTCAGTGGGGAAACTTTTGACACATTGATAGGCTCAGCAGCAAGGACAGCAAACGAAGCAGATTCAACAGAACAATGGCATTTTACATCAGAACTGTGATAACTAAGTATAACTGGCTTTTCACATATATATATAAATATATGTATGTGTGTGTGTGTGTGTGTGATGTAAAATGCTATTGTTCTGTATGTATGTGTGTATATGTACATATATATATATATGTTAGCAAAAAAACATAATGATGTAGAACAGGGGTAGGCAATCTCGGCACTCTAGCTGTAGTGGAACTACAAATCCCAGTGGCTGTCAGTCTTGCATTGCATCATGGGTATTTTCACCACAGCTGGAGTGCTGTGGGTTGTCTACCCCCAATGTAAAGGGTAAATGGTCTCAACAGGGTTGCATAATATTTGATTCTATAGGATCACAAGGTACTAATAATTTGCATACAGTTGACAAGACTTTGCACAAGCACAGCATTTAGCACTACCATTAAAACTTCTCCTCTTCTTTTCCTGACATCTTGACTTTCTCATTCTCTCAATCTGCACTCAACTGCCAATCTTATGTATCTGCTTAGCTGGTGACCTGGACACAGAAAAGTCCCTTGTAGCTGAATGCACAGGTAGCCTAGAAGTGTGCTGTGTGTTATGTACGATAGAAATTAGCTAGACTGCGGCAACAGTCAAATGGCACTCAGTTTTACTTTTTATGTATGTTTGGGAACGCACTTTTTTTGCCTGACTTGCATGCTTTTTAGTTGTTCTAAAACACTACTGTATGTTGCAAAAAAAGAAAAAAAAACTCCTGCTTAAAACAGAACTCCAGACAAAAATGACTAGATAAAAATGACTGGCCAGCTAAAAGAGAAAATAAAAAGGCAGCTTTTGTTGCAATATTCCCTTTCCAACCAGAACGCTCTTCTGCAGTACTTCTATTTCACTACAAGATATTCTCATTCTGATGGCAAGCATCATTCAACCCACTTTCCCTGAGCACAGACAGTCCTGGACCTACCCAGCTTGTGACTGGAGAGTACAAAGAGAAGTAGCACAGTGATGAGCTCTCTGTCACTCAACATTCTTCTCCTATAAGTATGCTTCTTGTCACTTCTGAAGTAGAATAAACAAAGGATCAACACCAGATCTTCAAGAAGTAGCTTAATTCAGCTGTCCAGCAACACACAGCAATTCAGTCACGTTCAGTTAATATGGGCTTGCATGCCCCGTTTTTATAGTGTTTCAAACAAAATAATCATATGTTACCTTGAATTACCTCCAAAAAATCAGATCATAATGACACCTGTACTCGTATTTCACTGTGCCAAGACCATTAGATGGGCCTTCTTCTCTTCATTAAACTCCCTCTTGTCAAGGTTAGAGGACAGCTGTATTGGCATTGAACCTATTGTTCATTTAAAAAAGTCAGAGACTTATTTATAATTTTCTGTTCTTTAAACCCTTGTGACTTCTACCTATAAGGCCTAAATGCTCTACATGAACTCTAGTTACCTCGATCTACTAAAACTTTTTGCCCTACATGAACTCTATTTACCTCCATCTACAACGCTAAATGTTTCATGTGTTGCTTATTCATACAGCTCATTATATATGTGTTTATATGTAGATGTGATGTTTACACTATATAATTGTGCACTATACAAATGCAGGACTTATTATTTAACTTTCTCATTATTCTCAACAATAAATTGCAAATATGAATATAGAGGATTCATCTTAAATGTATCTATTATATTATTAATAATAGTGTGCATGCAGACATCAATATAAAATATACGGGTTATTATCAAAATCCCTCTACACCACATGAACTGATTGTCTCCTTGTGCTGCTTCTTCCTCTCACTCTCCAGCCCTGCTGAACAAGGACTACAAGAGGATGATACCAGATCAAAGTCAGCTACTTACACAGCTTGCATTAAAATAACTCAATACATTTAAAGAATTAATTATAATTACAAAGCTGCATTCATTTGTGTCTGTTATATCTGCCTAGAGTTCAGCTTTCAGCTATATTTTTCTGAATTTGGATATGCACCAAGTAGCTTTATATCTAACTGTGATCAATTGTATTGCAAATCTGTACAGTAAAGAAAAAAAACAATAGCTTGATGGTTTGCACTGTAAAAAAATGTAGCATAGATAATAATTAGGTTGAATTGCTTGGTTGATGTTAACATGCTAGTATGTGTGCGCTAGAAGATGTGTTGCACAATATATTGAAATGTATACAATGAAGATCGTGGATGGCAATGTTTATAATTATGTCTGTTCCTACAGGACAGCAAGTAATAGAAGAACAACGCAAGCGCCTTGCAGAGTTAAAGCAGAAAGCTGTTGTTGAGGCTCAGTCGCAGTGGGATTCTCTCCATTCAACCCCTCATCAAAGCTATCTCCCGATTATGCATCATTCCATTCTGCATCACCAGCGGCCTTTGAACTCCCGTGATGATGACCCTGCACATGGCTATGACACTTTGAGCTTGGAGAGCTCCGACAGTCTAGACACTAGTGTTTCCACAGGGAACTCGGCGTGCTCTCCTGATAATATGTCTAGGTGAGGTTCTGTGATTATACACCATGCCCAGTTTGCTTGTTTTCTGTAGCGTTCTCTTATACGCCACTGCTTGTTATTCTAGTGCTAGTGGTCTGGACATGCTGAAGATTGAGGAAATGGAAAGGATGCTGCTGGAGGCTCATGCAGAAAGAGCAAGGCTTATGGAATCCAGAGTAAGTTAATGCAAATATCAGTCAACATTAGTTTCTGTATTATAGGGAGGAATGTAAACTTTATTATAATAGAGATAGTGGTATATTTTTAATACATTTTCAAAAAGAAATTGAAGCCATCTATTTGTCGCAGAGATCCTCGGACCCCTCACTGGTCCCACTGACCACGCAGTTGGTGAGGGAAAATCTCCCTTGCATGGTCACATATAGCATTGTATACAGCATACCTCTTGTGTTCTAAACTTTCTCCATTCATTAAAGGAAAGAAGGGTGACCCGACTTCTTCTGTGACATTATAGCAAAGAAGCGTGGTATGGCCTAATTAGTTTTTAATTTATCCCATGAAAGTGTGTGACACCTTCTGGACACTTCAGCTGGCGATACACTAATAGATTTCTTATGATTCAGACTTTGGGCTGAACAAATAAAAACCAAACCGATTCCCCCATCCACACTAAACACATTGGATGGATAAATCTCCTGATGCGGCTATTGTACTCTCACTCTGTCAGAATACCTGAACAGTGACTGCAGCTGATTGGATATAGTCATTGTTCACTTGAAAAGTTTTTGGCCAGGCTCCTTCGACAAAAGTTTGGGTAATCGACTTTTGTCAAGCCAGCAGGGCCACCCACTGTAAGAATTTTGGCTGATTCCTTTGAATCGGACAACATTCTAACAGTGTATGGCCAGCCTTACATTTAAATACTTAAAAAACATCATCGGTCTCACTTTGTCCCCCTTTGTGTTCATTTACCCCACTGGGCTCTCCCCCTTCTGGGTTCTGTGTCCTAAGCCTCTTGATTGGCCATGGTGGAATGATCTTTGCACAGGACCTTGTGTACTGAGCTGCACATGCTCGGCTCAGTGTACACAAACTGACAGGTAGTGAGGAGCAATTATGACAGAAGAGAAATTGAGAGTCTCTTCTGTCATAGAAAAACCCGACCTGTCACATTTCTTTTTAAAACAACATCCCTTCCACTTTAAAATGTTATTAACCCTTGGAGTGGAGCTACCCCTGCACTGCAAGGGTTAAGTGCTCGTTTTGGTCTAGGGCTAAAAATAAAGTTATACTTACCCGATCCTCAGAGCTGGATAGTTCTTAGGCCGGTCCCTGGAGCTTTTCTTCCCCTCCGCTAGAGCGTTCTAAGGTCTCAAAGCCATCACGTTCTATACACAGTGTATAGGATGTGATGGCGCTGAGGGACATACCATCACTATACCAGGAGGAGACAAGTTTCATTAAGCGCTGTCATAGCAGGCCGGTTCGGAGGATCGAGTGAGTATACCCTTGTTTTTTTTGCCCTGGACAAAAAAGAACACTTAACCCTTGTAGTGTGGGCGGTAGGCTCACTGCAAAGGTTAATTAAAAAATGACCGGGAGTTCTTCTTTAACCACCTGCTGACCGTACATAAATGGCCGGGCGGGCGCCTTCTAGATGCGGGTGAGCCAGTCCGGCGTCTGTAGAGCCTCCCGATCGCTTGTATGTTGTGCCTTCATGCGCCCCCCCCTCTGCCGCTGCTGCGATCCCGGGCTCCATGCAGGCCCGGGACTGGCACTGTGGCTCTGTGCAGGGAGATCGGAGGGAGATGAGTACACGACCTCCCTCTGATCTCACCTGCGGTGTTGTGAGTGCAGAAGTGATGTTCATTACATCAGTTCCGCATTCAGCTGTCACTCTAAGGCTACAGCAGCCAGAGAGAATCTGGTGAAGCAGATCTCTGCTTCTTTGGGGGTCCCCTGATGTCTCCATAAACAGGACCTGTCACTGCAATTTGATATAACATTGGGAGTTTCTTAGCCCCCTATGTAATAACAATAAATTTAAGTGTAAATAAAAATTAGTCGCATAAAAAAACCCCTGCAGACATTTTTTTAAAGTCCCCCACATACCTGCGCAACCATGCGTCAGGTGCGCCTACTTGCAAAAACGACGATTGTGCTCATTACGCCACACGTTGCATATCATCGCAAACGTCAGAGTGAGAGCAATAATTCTAGTGCCATCAATCACTGATAACACTATACTGATGAACGGTAAAAGCTTTTAAAGTGTCACCTATGGCTAATTTTCGGTGTGGTAGTTTTTAGAAATTTCGCAGGCGTGCACAATTTTAAAGCTTGACATGTTTGGTGTCTATTTACCTGACGTGACCCTGTATTTTATCATTTCATAAAAAAATATAGTTTTTATATATATATATAGTAAAAAATAAAAACCCCAGTGGTGATTAATACCACCCAAACAAAGCTCTGTGTGTCCCCAAAACATGGTATAAAATTAATTTAAGTACAGCGTTGCATGACAGAATAAATATCAGTCAAAGTACCGCAGCGCTGAATACTGAAAAATGGCCTAGACAGGAAGGAATGTGTAAACACCCTGGTCATCAAGGGGTTAATGTGTATTTTCCTGCATATTTGCATGTCTAAAGCACAGAAAAGGGGGTATTAAGTCTTGCTAAAACACATTTTCTGTAGTATCACAGTGAAGGCCCTTCCTTGGTGGTTATGTCAGTAGTTGTATCACCCACGGTTGGGCTGGATTCATACATTTGCATCCAAATTGAATGTTTTAAGGCAGGCGCTGATATTTGTTAATTGAGCTTTTGATACATCTATAATTATTTATTGACCACAATCCCTTTAGGGACCTGGTGGTTTCCACTAAATCATGTTACCAGTTCTGAGCTTGGTTGGGTTTAAAAAAAAACAAACATCTTCTAGTAATTTTATACACTAGCTCGTCTTCAATTTATGTTGGCTTTGGCTGTTCCCACTTTTGCCGAGCTCAAATATCTTGTCTCAGAATTGATTATTTAATACAAATTAAAAGTGGTCATAGACTTAATGTGAATGGAAACTCCAACAACGAACTTCTTTTATTTGCTCCTTTTTGGTCTGTTAAAAATAGGATAGAAAGCATTTTGTTATTTCTGCTCAGTAGGTGCAAAATACTTTCTGTTCCTTCCAGAAATCCAGGGCTGTCCCGAGCACACTGGAATGTTATCTCAAACAGTTCCCAGTTCTCAAGTGTATTAGAAGTACAGAACACTTCTCTCCGAGGTTATGGAGTGAGGGAGGTGTGTCCTGTCCAGGGGTGACATCCCTGCACCTCCATGGACACAGTGCATTGAGTGACCATTTTCGCCCTAGGACAGGAAGTGTATTAGCACTACAGAACACTTCTCTCCAAGGTTATGGAGTGAGGGAGGTGTGTCCTTTCCTGGGGTGACATCCCTGCACCTCCATGGATACAGTACATTGCGTGACCATTGTCACCCTTGGACAGGAAGTGTGTAAATGGTAGGATTACCAGGTGAAAATTAAGGGAAAAATCCATGAAACAACCACACATAAGGACTAGTAAGCTGCAAAATATTACAAATTTGCTCTTGGTTTTAGATAACCATTAATAATGTAACAGTTCTCATATCGTTTCGAGTGGTTATGGCGAAAGGCCTATTGGTAGCGCATATTTATGTTTTATTGTTGACCCTGATGATGATGGTGATGCAAGGGCTTTTTGTGACTCACTTGTAGGAACGTGAGGTTGAAGCACGCAGAAGAGCATTGGAAGATGAAAGGAAGAGGAGAGAGGAACTCGAGAGGCGTCTACAGGATGAGACTGCTCACAGGCAAAGACTTGTAGATAAAGAGGTCAAAATGAGAGAGAAACATTTTTCTCAGGTCAGTCTTGTATCCACAGCTTATGCAATATTCTGTCTACTGATTGTGTTTTTAATAATATTGGTAATGTATTTCAATATTTCATTGATTGCTGCCCTTTTTTCCCTTCTTAGGCTCGTCCTATGACTCGTTACTTGCCTATTCGGAAGGAAGATTTTGACCTCCGTACCCACATTGAGTCTTCGGGTCACGTGGTGGACACATGTTCTCATGTAATAATAAATGAAAAGATGTGTCGCGGCTTTCTAACAAAGATGGGTGGTAAAATTAAGTCTTGGAAGAAGCGCTGGTTTGTCTTTGATCGCTTGAAACGCACCCTATCCTATTATGTTGGTAAGCAGTTGCCTGTTCTGTTGAAAATAGAAAGCGTTATTTGCTGACTGCCTACCACGTGTGTGTCGCTGCCATTTACATTACAGTTATTTGCCCATTATGTGGAATTATAAGGGAACCAACCAGCTTTGCACTAATTTGTGAAATACACTGGGCCTAATGTATTGTGAACCTAATGTATTGTGAACTATTGGGGTATGCATTCTGTCACTGCCTGCTTATGAAAGATCCAGGCTGCATGTCTAAAAATTCGACTTCCTTCAGGACAGTTGGCCTACTGCTGTTAAAGTAAGATCATTTGGCAGCTTAGAAGTGACATGAGGCCAACTTTCCTAAAAGTAATCTCATTTAATTTCATGCAGCCAGGATTTTACGGTCTCCTTCCCTCCCCCCTTTCCAGGCAGAGGGGATGAAGAAAGAGTTCAGACTTCACTGTGTACTCGATAGGTTAGAGAACCTAATGTGTTCTTTTTAAAGGGCAACTTAAAGCGGACCTTTACTCATATCTTTAAAATAATACCAGACACGCCTTTTAGAAATGTTTAGTAATAACAATCTACAAACAGATACTTCTAGATACTTGTCGGCTTAGTATTCTTTGCATCCCTTATATCTCTTTTCTTCCCCAGTCTTCTGACAGTGGCCATGTTTACTAAGGGCAGATTACTAGCTCTCAAATGTGCCCTCAATTTCTGGCACATGTGACTAGACATGTGACTAGGACATGTGACCATGCACATCATCTCAGTGGAAAAAATGCCTTTCCCTGAGATCTCCTGAGATTACTGATGAGATTTCCCAGCAATGCTCTGTTAGTGACAAGGCAATCCCAGTGTGCATTGCGTTGGCAAACTGAAGTAAAAGCAGGAAGTGAATGTTCTGCAAGTATTTTACACCTGACATGTCTGTGTTATTATTAGTCATCATACATAGAGGGATGAATTGGTAGAATTTCATGTTTGAGTGTAAAGGTTCGCTTTAAGCCAAGCAGCAAAGTACACAGTAAAACCTGCATATAAGAACTGTTTCACCTACCAAATCCCAAATGATTTTGTAATGTACAAATTCTATTGGTGATCCCAGCCCTTGTGCTTACAAAGCAGTGTTTTCCCTTTTAAAAGACTTGGGTAAGAACTACACAGGCAATGATGATGTAATATTCTTTCTTTGTCTTAAATTAATAATAAAAATAATTGAATATGGGAGAACTACACAGGCAGTCTTAATTTCTTTCTACTAAGATATTTAACCACTTGCTGACAGTCACCTGATAGAGCTACACAGCAGATTTGTATTGGTTTAGTTCTACCTCTAAAATAGCTGACCAATAATGGTTAAAGGAATGGAATAAATTATTACCCTTTGGGGTAGCATGAAGTAACCTCTTTTAGCGATCAAACTCACATGAAGGAAACATTGCTACTACTTGCTACATTTGTAGCTGTTTCATACACAGCTTTTTATTTCCAACAGGGTTATTCACAAAAGGGTGAAGAGTTTGGAGAAGGCAGGAGAAGTGAACAATCTAGAACAACATAGCTGAACTGGAAAGTGAGCTGATTTGGAGAATGTTTAAAAATCCGTTATGTTGTTCTAGATTGTTAAGTTCTCCTGCCTTCTCCAAACTCTTCACCCTTTTGTGAATAACCCTGCAAGTGTTTAGCAATCATTTGCTACACCCAGTGATGTACTGTGATTTTACTAGCAGGGTAGAGCTACTAAATTCCTAGCCTAATGAGTGACTGCCAACAAGTGGCTGAATCTTTTAGTATCAAGATATTAAAATGTAACTAAATGTTAACAAAAGTATTTTTTTATTTGCTAACTTATGGTCTGCTATGGATACCACTGAAAGTGTTTTGTTATATCCGTTCAACGTGTGCAAAAACAAACTACCCGTTGATCATGTCAGAAATTCAGAACTGCTCTGTACCCTGTGCCCACTTCTGTGTTATCTAATGGAGTTGTAATCTTTGTACTACAGAATAATTAGTCTCAATGCTGTGGAAAATGGCCTAGGAGAGGAGTTTGAGTAGTTAAGCAAAAGAAAACTAAGTAGAGCAGACACCACGCACAAAAAAGCAGGAACAGCAATTAGGAGCCAAGTGCATTTCTGGCAGGCAGATCAACAGGTATTTTTCTGTACTTGCAGGGTCCTTAACCAGTTGCCATCCGCCCGTTGAAAAAAAAACGGACGGACGGTACTGCTGCATCAGTGGGTTGCCGTCTCCATACGGCATTTTTTTTCTGCTTGCGCGCGGGCAGAAAAAAACCGTGCAATGCATAGAGCCGTTACCGACTGTTTAACATATACCCGATCGGCGGCTCTATAGCCAGCCGATCGTGTGTATGTGCTGGTGTGTGCCCCCCACGTCTGCTGCCGCCGCCGCCCCCCCTCACCTTCAATCCCGGGATCCACTAGCCCATCTGCGGCTCGGGAGGGTGTCGGGAGGAAGAGGGAGGAAGATCAGCTCCTTGCTGATCTGCCACCGGGCTGTGAATGCAGAAGTGATGTGTATTACATCACTTCCGCATTCACCTGTCAGTCATCTGGCTGCTATAGCCAGAGAAAAGAAGCTGATGAAGCAGATCTCTGCTTCATCAGCTTCTTTTGGGGTCCCCAGGTGACATCCAAATTGTCCCCCACCCCCACGTTTACGCACATATAAACGTAAATACGCGTCCGGTGCACCAGCGCGCGAAAACGAAAATTGCGCTACACACGTTGCATATCGCCCCGAGCGTCCCAGTGAGAGCAATCATTTTAGGGCCATCAATCACTGATAACACTAAACTGATGAGCGGTAAAAACTTTTAAAGCATCGCCTATGGCCAATTTTGGGTAATGTAGTTTTTTGAGGTTTCGCGCATGCACATAATTTTAAGGCTTGACATGTTTGGTGTCTTTTTACCCAGCGTGACCCTGTCTTTTATATTTTACCAAAAAATTGGGTAGTAATAAATGTTTTATCATTTTAATATAGGGGAAACTGTTTTTTTTGTTTTTAAATTAATTTCTGTATTTTTTCCTTAATATAGTAAAAAAATTAAAACCGCAGTGGTGATTAAATACCACCAAAAGAAAGCTCTATCTGTCCCTTAAAAAAATGGTATAAAATTAATTTCAGTACAGCATTGCATGACGGAATAAATGTCAATCGAAGTACCGCAGTGCTGAATACTGAAAAATGGCCTGGATGGGAAGGGGATTTAACACCGCGGACTTCAAGTGGTTAAAAGGATAAACATGGAGAAATGTGCATGTATTGCAGAGATGCACTGCATTTTTTTTTTGTTAATTTTCCCTTACATACAATTAAAATGTTCCTGTGTAGATTAGCCATTAAATCTCAACTTTTGAGGCAGAAGAAATAAGAAAAGAAAAGCAAACTTTGTGCCATGTCCAGCTATTTATTGGTGGTTGGGGGTGCATAGAATGGTCACTTAGTTTATGTGCAGTGCACAAATGAGATGCTTCTACCTGTCTACATACTTTCAAGTGGATATTTCATAATTGTAGAACATTTGTCACATAAACCTGAACTGTAAATCCTTTATATCTATCAAAAAACGTTTTAATCCATGACAAAAGTTTCCCAAAGCACATTGGATTTACTGAAGAGATGGCACGGCAGTAAAAGTTAATGAATTTTGTAAACAACTGAATGTTTTTCAACATAGTGGCAAATCTATTGAGCGCAAAATGAAAAGGAGACCAAAGCTACATCTGGAAAAAGAGAAAAAATCAGTCTGACTATAATGAAGAATATATGTACAAAATCACTCCACGTTTCTTATAAAGGATTATTGCACTGTTTGTAAAGTTATCCTTCAAATTAGGGATGCACCGATATGTATACGCCGAGACATATCGGCCGAAAATGGCACTTTTGGCTAAATGCCGAAAGTGCCATTTTTCTGCTGATTTAGCGGTGCATCCGCGTATTCTCTCCTCCCCACTGGGAGTTGCTCTGTGTCCCAGCTGGGAGGAGAGCGCTGTCACAGATCAGGGGAGCAGTGTGTGCGTGGAGACAGCCAGCGCTGTCACAGCAGGTTGAGCTCTCCTCCCACACCACTTGCTCAGCCTCATGTGACAGTTGTCAGGATGGAGAGCGGGTACAAACACTCAGTGATCGCTGAGTGTTTGTACGTAATTGAGGACAGAGTATGTTTACTATATCCTCAATTATGAATGAATGGGAAGCAATCTACATCCCCTCCTGTTCATTTATAGTTGTGGTTATAGTAAACCCACTATATTCACATGTTATGAATGAAGAGGAACACTCAGTATAGAGGATTCCTGTTCATTTATAACAGGGGATGCAGAAAAAGGGATTGAGGACTCTGTGTTCTCAATCTCTTTTTCTATTTTAAAAGGGAAATATCAGGGGTCTGTTTAGATGCCTAATATTTCCCTGAAGACCCTAAAAGTAAAGAAAAAAATAAAAATATTTAATAAAAATAAATAAATACAAATAAAATATTTTAAAAAAATACGTTTATAAAAAATTATAAAGTTAGAAAAAAAAAATTATTTTTCGGCCCGACATTTTTTTTTCATTTCGGTTTCGTTTCGGTATTAAATTTTCATTTCGGTGCACGTCTGCTTCAAATAGCTCTGCCAAGTCTTATAACTTACCTGTCCTTGGTTCTTCACGTTCGCTGCTGTACGACCTGCTGGAAACCACAAAGCCACCACTCCCAATGGGCAGGCCTGTCAGTTGCATTCTTCACAAACATATGATCCTTAGTCAAAACAGTGTTGATATCCTAAAATGTGTCCCCTTCTTTTTTATTATTCTACTTGAGTACCTTGTTTGGTAAGCACTCATAGCAACTAGGGATGCACCAATAACGATGCTAGTATTGGTATCCACGCCGATACCAAGTATTTACTCGTATTTGCCCAAATGCTCCGATACCCGAACTTCCAGTCAGAGGCAGTGCCGTAGGGGAACATGGAGGAGGCATCCCGGGCAGTCAGGAAGGAATGACCTGCTTCCTGATTGGCTGGGAATCCAGCTTCCCTGCCAATCAGCATGAAGCCAGCCAATCAACATGGAGCCGGCTTCCCGGGCAATCAGGAAGCCGGGCAGCGTGTCATTACCTGCCGCCCGGCTTCCTGATTGCCCGGGAAGCCGGCTCCATGCCAGCGGAAGCACCGATATCGGTACTCGGTATCAGCAAATACCAAAAGCAAAATATCGGTAATCGATACCGAAAAAACGGCATTGGTGCATCCCTATGACTAACATATAGTAGATTAGTTTTTTGTATAAATTGTTGTACCAGTTTTAAAAGGCATAATACACACGTTTTTATTTATTTCTTTATTGTACTTCATATGCAAAGTTTATTTTGCTCTGCTTGGCAAAGGATAATACACTTGTTTGTACTATCAGTTGTCTTTGAATAGATGCTGTATTGCTTAGCAGTTCTCAGATTCCAGTTAGTAAAGATAAAAATGCTAGGGGAGTTGTGCAATGGTGGTGTTTGATTTGCCATGTTCTTTATTTTTACTGGTTTTCTTTTTACAGACAAACATGAAGCAAAGCTGAAAGGTGTCATCTATTTCCAGGCAATAGAGGAAGTGTACTATGATCACCTGAGAAATGCAGCAAAGGTGAGATCATAGTATAATGTGTTCTGGGGCCACAGTATGACAGTTCTTACACCAAGAAACAGTGGGCAATAAAAGACCTGCCATTCCTTGCTGGGATCTGAATGGAGTTATCTTTGAGACCCGAACAAGTAATGGACATGGTGCACTTGTCCTGAAAAGTTATTTCCTCATTTCTACATACAAAAAGGGAATAATCTGCATTTTGATACAAATACATTCTGGTAATTTTTAGATGTAATGATTACACGTATACCCAGTGCTTGCATAGAGAGCTCATCAAGTTCTGGTTTACACATACACAACCAAGTTGTCTCAAACAAAGCCTAAATCTGTTGTCAGACAGATTATTTTTTTTCTCCTCTCATTGACCTGCAGTATATCTTAATCTGTCTTTTAGTCTCAATCAATTGCTTTTTCCCCCCACAGAAAGGAATATTTAACCTCAGTCTGGCTTCAGTATGTATACTGCACGCAAAGCCCTTTCTTATCTCCAGCCTTGTTCTTCTCATTTTTCTAAAAAATACTACTGTAGAAATAACAAAGTGGAGTTCCAGGATGTTGATGTGCTATTAACACTAACGAGGACATATTTATGCAGCCTTTGTGTACTTTGGAAAAGTAATTAAACGGCAATGTTGCTTTGGTGTGTTACAGTTAACCGCATGTTTAATCTCTGGATGACTATGACTAGCGATCCTTGATAACTATAAAGAGAACTTGTTGTTATGCTCGGGTTCACTTGAATTTCTTAATACTTGAATTTAAAGTGACACTAAATTCAGGAATTAAATCTTAAAAATACATTCAAGTACCCTAACTATTAACAGAAATGTATCTTATTTGTGTATCACTCAGCTGTAGATACTCAAATCCTCTCTGACTGCATGCGGTGGTCACTGTATATGTTATAAAGTACTCATTGCTTCAAGATCACTCCTGTGATGGACTACAATCTCACGTTTAGTTTACTCATTTGCATTGAAGTTATAGTTGAGCTTGGACCGGTGGCTACTTTACAACACACGCAGGGACCATGGGGAACAAAAGTAGCCCCCCTCCAGAAGGAAGGACAGTGTGAGCACCAATTCAGAGATGATTTGAGGATCTACAGCCGAGTGATACACAAATAAGATACATTTTTGTTCATCGTTAAGATATGGTTGTAATATTTGCCTGTTTGCCAACTCGGACAGCATTGTGATATGAATACCTTGTTTATTATTATGACAATACAAGACAGCCTATAGAAGCACCTACTAGAAGTGGTAATTAAGTTGTCTTTAGGTTGCTCCAACCATGTTTCTGATGAGCTATACACGGGTGCAGTGCACGTCTGGTGTATGGAAAGCATGTGCTTGGCACTTCCAGACATGAAATGTATTTGCATTCCAAACCTTCGTAACCCCTTTCTGTGTATACTTCCAGGATTAGCTTTTACCTCTAGGCTAGGCCTATATATAGGGATATATTTAGAGAGCGAGAGAGAGAGAGAGAGAGAATATCTCAGATAGATGGATAGATTTTTGACGTTTTCTATGCATCCCCATAGACATGAGAATATATGAAATTGGGGATAAAATACAACCATATGCCAAGGTAAACGTCTATGCCCTCCTCTCCCAGTGCAGTGTTTGGTGCCAGAGCAGCCAATTATTAGGCCCAAGCACTGTCACATGGGGTGTAAAGGGGCATGCCTAACCCTTAGCATATGCTGACTTTAACTGTTTCAGTCCAACAGCCTTCATTTGCATTTCAGTTTGGAGATGTCAGATCTGTAACTTCTATTCTTTTAGGTTTTGTAGTCTAACCACATTATTTCTAATTTAGAACTGTTTCCCTATTTCAATGTTACATTATATAATACAATATAATAATGTGTCAATTGTTATACCATTAAAATAATATCAGGTTGGGTTGAGGATTGTTTTCAATTGCAACAACACTCTGCTGCGTTATGCAGAGAGAACTCTGTGAACTGCCGCAGGCTCAATGCCTCCGCTTGCATTTTAAGAATGGGCAGAAAAATGCCGGATGCAGTATTTAACAATACAGCAAAGCATGATGGGTAGAGGATAGCAATATCTCTTCACCATTATAATTGAGCCCCTGAATCTATTTTTATATGCGATTCCTAATTGCAGACTGTAAATTTGAAAAATGAATTGCTGACAATAGGGACCACCACATACCGATGTTATGCACCCCACTTTGTCTAGTGTGTTTATTGATTCAGCATGTGTAATGTTTTCATCTAATCCTCTGCATGTTTAATGGTAAATGTAATCAACCCTACAAATTCAGTATTTGGTGAACTCTAGTATGTTGATATATATCCAAGCTTTACATGCCTTCAAAGTTCTATAGGATAGATATTTTATATTTACTCTCTCCTGTCATTGCATTGCTATCCAGTCATGTTTTAGCTGGTAGCAGCTCCATACGTGAATTCTCCCCAAAAACGTAGGCTAGTTGTAAGCCATGGCTGGTAGACAAGTAGGACATCCATGTTATGTGTGTCAAACAAGTACCCCTTACAGGTAATCTTTTCAGGATTATCTTCATTGTGCATTCGCAGAACTGGCTCAGTTACTGCAGCCGTGCTCACTTTGGCAAAGGCAGAAAACTTGACCTATTTGGGGTAGCTAATGACTGGAGTTGAGGAACATTGAAAGCACTATATTTCCTATATTAACATACCGGAGTGCACTCAAAACGAAATATTTCAGTATACTTGATTTACAGGTTGATGCATGTTTAGTCTGGTACTGCATGTATGAATCAATCTGTGCATCTGGTTCCTATAATTCTGCACTGAATCCTCTCTTGTCCTTCATAGCAGATTTCTGACTTTCTCTCTTTACCCCTATGGAAGGAGGTGGGTGAGAATGTGTACAGACAATAGGCCACATTGTTGTATTTGTGTATTAGTTGCTTTACAGACGGTCATTGCCTCTTTTAGAATAATTCTCAGTTAAAATTGTATTCGTGGCCAGTCTGAATCAGCAAAACAATGTGCTGGAAATAATAGCTGAAGAATTAGTGGTTGTGATTGGTTGCCGTGTCACATTTCTTGTGTGACCTGTTATCAAAGTGAGCCTGTCATGGCCTAAAAATTCTACATCTAAAGGAAACCACCTTCTTCAGTGCAGATTTTGCCATAATGTGAAAATATGAACAGAATACTTGGATGTTATGTCAGACTTATCTCTTTGACAGTTCATTTGCTGCCCTTTTCCCATTGATGCTTATTCCTGGTTCGGTGTCCTCCTTTGAACATTGGACGGTTGTTGAGGATGTCACTCCTGCCCGTGTGCCCGCCGTCCTCCCCTCAACCAGTTGCATTTTCGGCATCTTGTAGATGGCAGGACTGTGCACTGCAGTTTACATGTGTCACAAGCAGTGTGTACAAATAAAACAGCCACTAGAAGAAAGGAGAAATGCTTTTTGCCAGAAGTGACACGCTAAGTCTCTCCTTTGAAAAACCCTGCGTCCTAGTTTTAATATTGCCTGCAATTTTCAGTCTTTATATCAGCCTTTCTCAGCCTGTCTTCAATCACAGCATGCTTCAAAAGTATGCAAAATCTCAAGGCATCCCAGTGTGAAATTTAAAAACCGACATGAGGATCTGGTATTAAATTTAAGGGGGGACCCCACCTTTCCCATCAGGGCCCCCTCTCTCAAACTAGGAGCCTTTTTACATCAGAAGCCCCCCTTTACATCAAAGCCTTCTCCTTTCACACCAGGAACCCTCTTCCCAGTACTCATTCCCCCCACATCAGCAGAGCATGAGGGCAGGAGAATAATTTCTGTCCTGTCCTTTTCTGAATTAATTCCACCCGCCCTGGATAAGTGCAATTGATGAGCGGAATTTCATGGTGCCAGCCTGCACCATGGAAAGGCATGACCAAGAATGTGTGAAATGTTCGAGGTACCCCTAAGGAAGCCAAAAGGCACTCCAGGATGCCACGGAACCCTGTTTGAGAAAAGCTGCTTTATATCATTCCCATTGTCCCTGTAAAGACCCTGAACTTATGCCCCAGCTGTGAGCAAAGCTTTGACTTCTGCTAAGTCTGCACTAAGTCCTGTTTCTTCCCAATACTAAGTCCCGCCCCTGCATTTCAGCTGTCAATTTCTGGAACCTCTGCTGGCCATTTGAGGTTGTGTAATTAACTGCTGAATGACAGTTGGGCTCAGCAGCACTTTAGCTGTATTGCTACCTTAGAAAATTGTTAGTCCATGGCTTCACTATGGCCTCTATGATTAAGCCAGATCAGTGAAACGTGTGAGGTTGTACACATGGGGAGTTGTTCCACAGCATTTAATCTATACATCAATAGATACAGGTGAAACTCGAATAATTAGAATATCGTGCAAAGTTCATTTATTTCACTAATGCAACTTAAAAGGTGAAACTAATGTATGAGATAGACTCATTACATGCGTGGCAAGATAGTTCAAGCCGTGATTTGTCATAATTGTGATGATTATGGCTTACAGCTCATGAAAACCCCAAGAACCCCAAATCCACAACCTCAAAAAAGTAGATTATTACATGCAATCAATAAAACAAGGATTGTACATAGAACAATATCGGACCTCTGAAAAGTACAAGCATGCATATGTACTCAGTACTTGGTTTGGGCCCCTTTTGCAGCACTTACTGCAATTACTTTTGCACGATATTCTAATTATTCGAGTTTCACCTGTAATAGTTTTATTCATGGTGATCCACGGAAGTGCAGCTTATTTTCTGAGAAGGATGGTTAAGTACGGAGAAGGGGAGCCGGCTTTGCCTGCACCTGTGGAACAATTCACAGTTGGATGTCGGCTTAAAGTTGCCCATACACCTTGCGATCATCGGATGAAACTTTTCGTCCAATGATCGAACCATCGTACGATTCTCGTACGGTGGCCCCATCCTGCCCCGATTATTGCAAGGTTGAATCGGCAGTAATTAAAAGAAAGCACCTGGACGAATTGCGGTAATCGACCGCACGTATTTTCGTCTGCGCCTGTGCAGTGTAAATCGTCCGAATGTTGACGTACCAGTATTTGCGGTTGTACACTGCCCATCAACCTTACGAATATCGGACAAAAACGGGATCACGTACGAAAATCGGCCGATATTCGTAAGGTGTATGGGCAGCGTAAGAGTTGGAGTGGTTGGACTATCTGCAATATGAAGCATGGCTTCACTATGTTATTATGCATAAAACAGGATGAAAGAGAAGACTTTGGACACAGTAGACAAGTCTCTGTTAGATTACATGTAGATATGTTTGACTATTTGTGCGTCACTTCTGCTTTTCCATATAATCAATATTTATTAAATGCCATTGTTCATTTTGAACCTAGAGACTTGGAACTGATAAACAGGCGTTGTTTCACCTTTCAAATTGTCCTTTTCCTACAGAGCCCCAACCCTGCGCTGACGTTTTGTGTTAAGACCCATGACCGGCTATATTATATGGTAGCTCCTTCTGCGGAAGCCATGAGAATTTGGATGGATGTAATTGTTACAGGGGCCGAAGGTTACACTCAGTTTATGAACTAATGCAGGCGACAATTCCAGCTTTCACCACTCCATCATTCTCCTCAGGACCCAGAACGAAGAAAACAAGAAAACTGCATATTTTCCACTGTTAATATGAAAAGAAAATTGTGTGTAATTTATATTTAATACATATCTTCTAAGTAGGTTCTAGCAGTTTATATGGTATGGATAAAAAGGTACATGTCTTTTTTTTGCTTTTATCGTTTGTATTTTACATTCTCTATTTAATGAAGCTGCTGTCTATATAAGTTTTTATTCTTTCACAGTTTGTCAACATTTATCACTGCGCTGACGTATCACTAGCCAATTCTAGACAGCTTGTTATCAATGGCTACCACGTTGTAAGTTCTGTAAGACACTACAAAGATAATTCATTGTATAGAGCACTGTACAGTGCTGTTCAAAGGTCTGGAAGCCAGGTTTTCTTGTCTCCATAGAACGTGTTTCTTGAGTACTATTAACCACTCGCAGGATAGGAACTTTGTGTCCACATCAGGTTCCAGGGCTTTAAAAGCCTGCGCTATATTGTTTGTTTTTTTTGTGGACCTGTTCGTGTTAGCAAATTCATTCTGTGTAAAGTTTGGCGGAGTGGTTGATCTTATTCAGAATAGAAGTTCCACAGACAATGAAAAGAAGCTTGGGTGTGTGAGTTCCTATAGACAAATGCTAATTTCTTAAAAAGCAAAACGGTGAATTGCAAAATCAATGCAGTTACTGTCTGGTATTTGGCTAGAATGCAAAATGTGCACATTAGCCATTTTGTTTTTACAGATAATTGCCGAAATGAATATGTAAGGATCACAGCAACTGCAAAACATGAAAGGTTTTAGCCATACCTGAGCAATAAGATTTTGGGATGCAGCCCAACAAGGCTAGCAATGTGCCAGATTTGCACCCATGTGCTAAGGAGAGAGCAGGTTTTAATTCAGCAAGTGCCTTCTTAGGCTTTTTTGCGGATTGGTGCACATCCTGAAGAAGTGGAGGTCATAATCAAGCTAGCGGCTATAGTTCTATACATTTATTTCCATCATGGAGTCTTCTTACATAGGAACGCTTACTAATATGGACTGGGAGATTCAAATGATTGCAGGCAGTCTTTTGAAACGATGATTTTTGCTTTTGCCAAACGTACATTTCTGTAAGGCACAGTTCTGAAAACTCACATTTGTGGGCAAGTGTACTCTGCCACCTAAAATGTGGGCTGTATGAAGTAATGGTGTTGCCTACTTCAAATACTATCTGCATGGCAAACACTGGCTTTCACTTGTATGTTCAGAACACTGTTTGGTACTTATTCACCAACGTATTGCCAATTTCTGAAATGACTGTATCTGTTACATGTTGCACACAAGGACATCTTCAATCAGTAAAGTATATGTACTTGCCTTATGATGTTTTAATGGTTTTGCAGATTCCCCTTTCTCCCTTGAATCACAGAACAGAAAAACACAGTGTCCTCCAGAAGTAAAGTGTAATTTCCTCCACTGGGAGGCCACTAAATCTGTTGTCTGTAGGTTAGAGTACTTGTACCCAATGTTATGACCATGCAATAGAGATCCTCCTATATCTATACCTTTTATATAAGGTTATTGAATTCTGTTTGAGATGTGTATATCTTGTATTATTTGACCAACTGTATGGTGCTGCCTTTTTATTTCCAATACTTTTTTTTTTAAAGACGAGCAGGTCATGTAAGAGACTTTTACCTGCAACAGAAGCCGTTATATGCAAATATAGATCCGTGTATTTTCTTCTTTTCCGCTCCTATATTACTGCCTTTTTTTTTTTGTCCCACGCTTGCTGTGAAGCCGCCCATATTTTGCAGCGGGCACCTTTGTGTTATGTTATTCATATGCCACCTGTGCCTTTATAATATATGCCATTAAACAGAAACTTGACTTGTTTTTCTTCATTTCTACAAGGATGTATTGCTTTTAAATCACTTTTACAAAGCCTTAAAGCGTTCTAATACTCAAAGTAATCCAAGGTCTGCACAGCTTTACCAATCATTTTCTCAGCAGCAGGAGTGTTGCTGAACCGCTGAAGGTATTACATATTCTTCTACAATGTTACATTTGTTGCAAAATAAAAGTAAGATGACCTAATTTCTTGTGATTTTGCTCTTTCAATGTAATCAAATGCCTAAATATTTGGAATATTAGGTGTTAATTGTTAAAGCAGAACTAGACTAAGGGCTCATTCACACAGGCGTGTACACTCCCTGGAGGGACAGGTGCAGCGTATAACTGCAGCCTCCTGTACATCCCTATGGGCAGACGCGGCTGCACGCAAACCTGAACCTGCACGTCAGTGCATGCACTTGGGTGCAGACATTCTGCGTCAGTGTGCAGCCACATTCTCCCATAAGTACCGTATGCACAGGCTGCTGCACACAATCATGCTGCACTTGTACCTCCCACAGCAGGTCTCTGCATGGGTGTGCATGCCGTATGGATGTGAATAAGCCCAAAAAGAAAACAAAATATTAGCAGGTCGTTTTATGGCAGAAGAGACTCTGTATATCTCTGCCGCCATAAAAGCTTCATCTCATCCTGCTGTTATTTCTTTTTAAATTGTACTCTCGACTGCCACACACTTGCAATATACAATCTCAACATCTTAAAGTGTCGGGTTTCAGGACCATGCGACTCCTGTACACGTGTGTGGGAGTTGCAGCATTAGTGACTAACCAATGGCTGAAGATGAGCAACTTCTGCACTGGAAAATAACCAGAAGATGGCATCGGCAGCAACTGTGTGAGGAGGGGGAGCACAGACCTTGAATCACTGGAGAAGGGCAGAGTAAGAGGCAAGTCTAGCATAATAGTGCATACGTGCACATCACGGCATGAGCTCTGGAGACTCCATGCGGATATAGTTCTGCTAGAATTCTAATGGATAATGACTTTACAAAGGGTACAGGTTAAATACTGGTATCTCCCCTTCAGAATCTTCTTCTATAGTCTTGGGTCTTGCCATCAGGAGGGTTAAGTGCTTGTTTGTGTCTAGGGGGTAAAATAAAAAAAAGTTATACCCCTCCACTACGGCAGTATAAGGCTCAGTGAGGACAAAAGGACATTCCGTTTCTGGAGAGCAGGAGACCGGCTGCAGGGACTAGTCTAGCAGCTAGCTGGCTCTGAGGTTCAATGGGGAATAGCTTTTTTTTTTGTTTGTTTATTTTGCTCCCTAGACGAAAACAAGTACTTAACTCTTGCAGTGCAGGGGTAGCCCCACTGCAAAAGGTTAAGATTTCTGCCCAGAGTTCTTATTTAAAGAGACTCACTGCCTTTATCATGCTTCCATAGACCTGAGCTGGATACCTTGCAGACACAGCTGCTTATCAGCTAGGCACTAGATTCCTGTATTAATATAGAAACCCAAAAAGATATTGCAACCGGACTTGTAGGGCGTCACAAAAACAGCCAGACAAACACACATAAAATAACTAAAAGAGTCTTATTGTTGTACATACAAAAATACTTCCCATCATTCATGGCAGGAGATGTAGAGACTGCATGCAGATAATATATACATCCTTCTATGTGCTCCCTCCAACAATACAGATCGACAAGCTGTACGTATTTCTACATTTCTGAGATAATTCATCGTTTTCACAGAACAGACGATTCTTTGACTGGGATGGAGTCACTCTCGACGTGTTTCGCAGATGACCAATCTGCTTCTTCAGGAGATACAAGGAACATTTCTACAATTTTATACAATTCATTTTTACGTCTAGTTATTTACAAACTTCACAATGCTCTAGAACTCTACAAACTTCCATGGATGAGGTATGCATCCAGCCATGTGCTATTCCTCAAACTAGTTCAATGGGGACAAATCGGAGGATCTCAGATCACCAGAAGATAATCTATGGTTATAATGATTCTAAAACAAAAATATTCATGTACTTTTATTGAGACTCGGCACTCTGTTCATAGATTTGCCTTGGAATAAGACAAAAGCCCAAAAATAAGAGCTGAACTATCTACAAATGTATCTTAGAATTATTTATTACCCAACTACTGACATCCGCATCGTATAACAGTGGAATGTTCACAGCGGGATAAGTGTAAAGCAGGGTTAGGCAACTTTGGCATTCCAGCTGTGCTGAAGCCACAAATCCCATCATGCCACTGTCTCTGGGAGTCGTGGCTGTCAGAGCCTTGCAATGCCACATGGGATTTGTACTTTTACCACGACTAGATTGCCGAGGTTGCCTAACCCTGATACGAAGGATCCACAGTAAAGTGTCTACAGCAAATTCTAAGCCAGCTCATGAAGAGCTATGTCAGCTTCTTAGTCGTACCAGCAGTTGGAGTCAGTCAGGCACCAGGATCTCCCACTATATAGGAGCAGTGAATGCCCCAAAAACCACAGCAGGCCCGCCACACCTGGTGTGGAGTATAATGCTAGTGCAGTGTGCCAGCAGGAGCATGCACAGTACTCACTGGCGCACTTCACTTACACCCTTACTGATCACCGCCAAAATTAAAGCTGGCCAAAAAACTCCTCCCCATAGTCCAAAGTGGGCAGGCTCACTGTAGGAGCCATATCAGAGGAAAACACCCCCATTAACCCAATCTTGGCACAAAGATGAACTTCAAAAGGGAAGAAACGACTCGCCACCCAGCTTCCTGATTGGTTGGGGAGCATGGAGCCGGCTTCCTGGCTAATCAGAAAGCTGGGCAGCGAGTCGCCCGGCTTCCTTAACTACCTCCGGGCCGGCCGTAGTAAAAAAAACGGCCAGCCGGGAGCTCTCTAGATCTGAGCGGGTGTCTTTAGACGTCCGCTCAGACACGCCCCCTCGCGCGCGAGCGGGAAATGGCCGATATTTAAAAACAGGCAGCGATGCCTGTTAACATACAAGCGATCTGCCGGCTGTAGAGCCAGCGCATCGCTTGTATGGGGTAACGATCGGTGCCCCCCCTCCGCGGTCACCCCCCCCCACCGTTGTCCTGCTGTGATCCCAGGCTCCGCTGTGCCAGGTGCGAGCCCGGGATCAGCATGGCGCCTGTGTCACAGGGGATCAGAGGGAGATCGTTACACGAGCTCCCTCCGGTCCCCTCTCCTCTGAAAGAATGCGGAAGTGTTGTATAATACATCACTTCCGCATTCTTGTGTCACTCTCCAGCTTCAGAAGCTGCAGGAGCAGATTTGTGCTTCATCAGCTTCTTTTGGGGGGTCCTAGGTGACATTAGGGGTCTTGGAGACCCCTGATGTCTCCATAAAGAGGACCTGTCACATATTTTGCTATCACATTTTATTTTTTATTAGCCCTCGTATGTGATAGCAATAAACTTTAGTGGAAAAAAAAATGTAAGTTCCCCCCCAAAAAAATGTGAAGTTACACATAAAAAATAATAAAACATTTTTTTTAAAGTCCCCACCCATACATACACGCATGCAAACATGCGTTGGGGGCGCATACGTGCAAAAAAGACGATTGCGCCCATTACGCCGCACATGTTACATATGGCCGCGAACGTCGGAGTGAGAGCAATAAGTCTAGGGCCATCAATCACTGATAACACTAAACTGATGAGCGGTAAAAGCTTTTAAAGTGTCGCCTATGGCCAATTTTGGGTATGGTAGTTTTCTGCGATTTTGCGGGTGCGCGCAATTTGAAAGCTTGACATGTTTGGTGTCTATTTACCCGACGTGACCCTGACTTTTATATTTTACCAAAAAACTGGTTAATAATAAATGTTTGCAGTAATGTTTCCTAATTATAGTAAAAAATAAAACCTATAGTAGTGATTAAAGGAGAGCTATGAGGTGAGTGCTTTTCACTCACCTCATAGTTCTAGCCGACCTGTGACAATGAGAGTGTCACAGGTCGGCTCAGTAGATCGGGAGGTGAGCGAACACATACCGGTGTTCGCTCGCCTCTCGATCCTGTCACGGCTCTCTGCCGTGACAGGGGCTGGATTCTCCCCTCCCCGATCCTCCAGTGCAGACTGGCGGAACGGACGGGGGCGTGTACAGCTGGCTCTGCCTTTAGATAGGCAGAGCCAGCTGTCACTCACGCAGCTGGGCGGATCCTGTCGTCTAAGCAGGGCTCCACTCCGGTGTCTCAGTATACCGCGAGCTGTAGCTCCCTATATACTGATAGCTCGCGGTATACTGAGCCTAGGGTGACGGGAGGACGCTAGTTTGTGTCCTCCCGTTACCCTAAGGAGAACTATGGGGAAAAGACTTAACCCCATAGTTCTTTAAATACCACCAAAAGAAAGCTCTGTCTGTCCCCCAAAAATGGTATAAAATTCATTTCAGTACAGCGTTGCATGACGAAATAAACATGTCAAAGTATCGCAGCGCTGAATACTGAAAAATGGCCTGGCCAGGAAGGGGGTCTAAACACCTGGTCTTCAAGCAGTTAATGGGACTTCCAATATCAGTATTCTGTATCGGCGAGTACCCAAAACAAAATATAAGTACTCGATACCAAAAAATCGGTATTGGTGCATTCCTAATAATTATTATCCTATTTGCTTTCTACACTGCACACACATGTCACAATCCCTGTGGTCACAAAATACTCTTAATTACCTTGCCACAAGTGACAATCTCTATCTCTGACACACATAGACCTCAGCATAGAGTCATTGGTGGGACATCAGAGTATCACAGGTTAATAAGAGCTCTTAGCAATGGTCGACCACCGCCCAGCTGTACCCCAATGAGATTCCGCCTAAGGCAAATGCCTCATTACAGGGATTGCCCTGGTCTTAGTGTTGCACATTATTCAGTATTAATTGCAATCACAGACAACATTGTATAACTGAGTAGCACGATGCAGTCTACATTTCTCCTACAGTAAGGTCTGGTCTTTAATAGGAGCTTCTCCATATTTTGCTCCGCG